GTCTTCTCGGATCCATACAACCGCACAGGAAAGATACGTAGAGGGGCTAGTGCAGTGAGCTAAATTCTATACTGAACCTAAAACAAAGCTGTCGCAAAGTGAGTGTTAGTTGGTGAATAGAAACACGTCTACAAGTCTGCTACCAGTTATGCGCTGGACAATCAGAATTGAACAGGGCTATTCAGTACGCCAAATTTTGTTGACAGTAGGCCAAGGCATTCGCCCACAGCTTTAACACGTTAATACCTATCTATCTCTCCGATTTAGAGGCTGCTTTTAAACAAAACCAAAAGACGGTACTGAGAACTGATGGACCGGTTGCAACTTAGTAGACTTGTTTTCCTAAGAATCTAGCCAGTCTAGTAGTTGTGTACGAATCGACATCACTGTTTCTTCCGCTGGAGCAGCTTGTGTGTGTGTGTGTATAAAACTGTAAACCCTGCACCCTTAGGAGACAAGCAACCAATAGCTATAGCTAAATTTATCCGGTAAAACTTTCGCTAGGCAATGACGAACCAGCATCTTCTTCACGTCGCTAAATTGGATGTATGTAAACGCTGTTGGCACCAGTTGCGGAGATACTAAAGCTCTGCGAAATGTTTGCGGATTTCGTCGGCTTCACCTCAGACATACTATCATCATGCGGTGACTCGGACTGCGGAAGTAATAGCCGAGCCGTCCCCAGCGCATTGATGTTAAGCCACAATGAACCTACCTAGCTATCGTCATGATACGAATGTATCCATCGTGTCAAGCCGCAGTAAACCATTGGAGCTCGCTTCAGCACACTGAGGCATTTACCACACAAAGCCACACTAATACTACCACTGGGTGACAACTCACGCACTAACTTACGGGATATTCGTCTCCAGTCTCAGCCCGCGTGTACGTCTGGTGGCTAGGCCACGCTAGCCCGCAAGGTTCCGAATTTGATTGGCAACCATACATGCGTTTGCAAGTTTCGACTAGAAGCCGGTAATAACGGACCAAAACGAGCTTTGTTGGATAGTGCCAACATATCTGACACCATTTCGCACAACATGACTGTACGTGTGATCACGCGGCTCCGCCGCTAGATCGTGATCGCATTCGATTGCACACAAACTCTGAGGTGACGGTAGAAGCGAGACGGATGAAGTACAAATATTCATTGCTGAAGGCGATGCAGCAGCTTTAGAACGTTGGTAACCACCGTTCTTTGGAAACCACACAAAAACAGTGCCACAGGTTTGTTGACAAACTTGTGCTTCCCATATGGACTTTTTGAGTGAAGTAGGGCCGTAGAAAGTGGAGCCTGTTCTGATCTCAAAGGGGCGGCCGGCGAACGAGCCGGCAGTTAATATTAGACGCAACGATCACGATATCCTCAATTTTGGCCATTCTGATAATCTAGGCACCTAACTAAGGCATTCGTTTTTTATCACCTACTGGCTGTAGACGTCTGAACATCAAGCTGAAAAAAGGCTTCTTGCCCTCGACCATCTCTTAATGAACCCGAAGGAGCTTTGAAGTTGATTATCATACACTCGCCTATTCACTGGATTCTATTCTTTGAGATAGACCATATTTATCTGATGGGTATGACTGCGTTGCGAAAAGCAGAATACATCGCAGGAGAGGCGTTGTGTAAGTCCTTCCATTGAAACCCGAGTGTGGCAGGCCTGTATTTCATGGTGCTTCTTGTTCAGTTGTCAACGGTACAAGGTACACTGTATCCGAAAGAGTGCAAAATCATCTCCAGCTTGGCTAGTTTCGCCTAGCTAACAAGCTAACGTGGCATATTTACGTCGAAAGGCCTAACCTAAAATGGCATCCTAGATTGGAAATAGGACTCGGTTCCCCTGTTAAATTGGTTGCCATAGTGGTGGCATATTGCTCGTTAACTACGAGGTGAAGGTCAGTTTAAATTAGGGGAAACAAAGAATAAAAATGATGACCGGTGATGATAGATGACAACCCAATTTTAATTTTGCGTAAGTAGTTTGTACGGAGCTCTCGTTGCTAACTTTCGATTCGGCGGTCTTACCCATAGTTGACAATGGTGGTTAAAGTTGGCTTGAGGAACTCCACTTGGAGGTTTCCTCTGAATCGTCACTATCAAAAGCCAGTGGAAGGTAAATTCAGCTCAACTGTGTAAATGCGCAATTCCAATGGCAGGTGCGGAGGCCGGTCAGATACTTCTAGTAGTCCGCTCTAAACCGGTCTGGTGCCGTGTACTTGTAGCAGTGTTAGTGATCGCCATTCCCATTAAGCGCTTCACCATGTGCACAAGAAAATGTTCTGAGGACTTGTGAATGGAAGGATTTTAGTGAGTATTTTTGTTCGTCGCAATCAGCCGACAATTCAGATATGTCGACCAGCTATCCGGAAAAGCACCAGACGGCCGTTTCGCCCTATTGGGGCTTATCGGTGGTGCGCATCCTTCGGTCCTCTGCGGAGGACCGAACCCATGACTGCTAGTGGCTCTTGCCAACTAGCCCGCAGCTTATGCAACTGCGCCATGGAGGACGGTATCTGACTATCATGAATTGTTAGCTAAATGCGATATAGCCCGACGCATCCTCCACTGCCATGCAGGCACCTGCCATGCAGATGACAGCGGTCGGCCTTCCGGCGTCAGGACTTCCCGGTTACGGCAGCTATGAATCGACATTCACAAGTAATACCAATATGCCCGTACGTATTCCACGAAATGCTATGTCGATTCGTTGCTGCCGTAACCGGGAAGTCCTGACGCCGGAAGGCCGACCGCTGTCGTCTGCATGGCAGGTGCCTGCATGGCAGTGGAGGATACGTTGGGCTAAATCACATTTAGCTAACAATTCATGATAGTCAGATACCGTCCTCCATGGCGCAGTTGCATAAGCTGCGGGCTAGTTGGCAAGAGCCACTAGCAGTTATGGGTTCGGTCCTCCGCAGAGGACCGAAGGATGCGCACCAATGATGAGCCCCAATAGGGCGAAACGGCCGTCTGGTGCTTTTCCGGATAGCTGGTCGACATATCTGAATTGTCGGCTGATTGCGACGAACAAAAATTTTCTGAGGACCTTGGTTTTGACATTGTCTTCTGTATTCTGTGTAGCTTTTTGTGTAGCGACCAGGATCATTCGAACAAATCGCAACACGAGGGTTGTGGCAACTCTCACCAACCACCATCACCCTGTTCTACGATAATGCATGTATGTTTTTCTGCCGCTGAAGAGTATTCTACACTTATGACTAGAGTAAATCCCGGTGAGGTTTGGCGGTCTGCAGTATCTTGACCACGGTCACCCTGTCTTGAGGTGGGTGACGCCAGACCATTGAGTAAGGGTGGCACGGTTCCAGCGTCAACAGCAACCCGTGGTGCTGAATACTCCCAGCTCTAGACGACACTGAGGACATCGTAACTCTATGGAACGTTGTTATCCCGCGCTGGGTTCCTGTTTTATTGCTGTGCATGCAGATAGAACTGCGCGACAAATAAGCGTTTGCACAGATAGTACTGGCAAGGCAACAAACAACCAACCAAGCATCAACATGCAGAGAAGCAGCAAGAAGTTTGCTTGGAAAACAAGCTGAATGAGTGTCTTGAGTTGACCTCTGTGCAACACACGATGCTGTCTACTACAGTGAAGGGTTACAGTGCTATTGTGTGCCAAGACAGCGGTGCAGGATCAATGAGCACCACCCGAGTGCTCAAAACGAGCCATTGTTATCCAATCTGATGAGTGAAACAAAAAGTTTCACGCAGTGTGGTACATCCCTAGTCCTGTTACTGTCCCCTAATCAAACTAGTGCACATTGCGTTGCAAAACACCTGCGGATAAATGCATACCCCTGGAACAGCAAAGACGATGGATATCACACAATTGTTTACCACTCACAGCTCAGCATGACATATTTTGTAACATATGATCGGTATTAAATATGGACACAGTTTCCCACTTCGTGAGAAATATACCTATTATGTATGGGTCAAGATGCCTGAAAACAAGTTGCTGTTCTAAGTTCATCCACTTATTTAATGAAAGCTCCAAAAGACCCAAGTGATGTTACAGTGTGTAGATGAAGCTAGACTTACCCAGTACTCCAAACAAAACAATCTCTAGGCGGTGCCTATTTTACAGCTGAGCATGTAACAAACAATGAAGCCAAATAGCCACCTTTATTGTCTTGTCACACTGTTCCATTGGTTACATGCAACCCGTTGCCTCAGCTTTGTGGATGATAAGAGTTTTCTTGTGGTTACCATCAAAAACCAAAATAATGTATGCAAACACATGGTCCCCCGTAGAACAAGCTAACGGTCATTAAGGGACAAAAGAAAGAGAAGTCGTTTAACTCTTCGAATGAGTGCACTACCGTGTAGAGTTGTTGACAGGAGAACAAAGCTCCCCGCAAAGTAGTGTCAACCTAAGAACATTGTAGGAAGGTCAAGTTTGGATTGCGATGTGCAATCTCAATGTAATGGACTGTGATTCACATTGAAGTGAATCTTAGTCACTGCGATCGCTGGGACCGTACTCTAGCAGATAGAAATTTGGTGTTGCCCACCCGAAAACATTGCACAACCACGACGCGTTTCGATGTAATTTCATCTCATCAGGTCGAGAGAGCATGCCTCGATCCCTCGACCATTTGAATGGTAGCCGAAACCTCTACCCCTTTGGCTACCGGGTCACGGTGGGTAACGCTTGGCACAACGATAAATGACTAATTGGAGGGTCAAATTTGGACTACGCTTTGTTCGACTGGATTTCGACGAGCAATGTCAATGTAATGGACTGTGATTCACATCGAAGTGAACCTTAGTCACTTCGATCGCTGGGACCGTACTCAAAGCAATCCAAGCACACAAAGTGTAGTCCAAACTTGACCCTCCAATTAGTCATTTACCGTTGTATTTGAGGTACATTTCCAAGCAATTTTCCAACTTCCTAGGTAGCTTGCTCAACTGAGCGAAATTCAACTAGAGACCCAGACTGGGATGAGCGCTTCGAATTTTCGACTGCTCTTACCTGGCTGATAGGTAAAGGGGACCGCGTTGCTCCAGCGCTGGTCACAGCGAACCACAACCTGGACCTCTACAGGCTGCACCAGAGGTAAGCACGGGCCTTGATAGGTAGGTATTCGACATACCAAGTGAGTCTACAACAGAAACAAACAACAGCAGAAAGTGAGAACCATGGATAGTCATCTTCTTGCCGGTTAAATATGACGCAGCCGTTTAATTTACGATGGCTATTCCAATATTTCTGAATTAGCTTAACAAAAAGGTACTTGGCAAATGACGGGTAGTGGAAATCATTAAGTTCATTATAGCGACTGGAAACATCGCATCCAGACAATGAGCATAAGTCAAGTACGTAGATGAGCGAAACGAAAGAACTTTAATGAGTGCAAACGGATGAATGAATGTTTCGACGCAATCAGGCTGAGATTTTGCCTGAGGGTGAAGAAAACGTGTTGAAACGATGCAAGCCGGAAACAACATGTAAGCACATGCGCATATAGCCTGTTTTATCTGCAGTTCTGAGGATGTTCTATAAACTGCACTTGTCAGGCAAGAAAGAAACCTAAAACCTTTAGATTTAAGAAGGGAGATTGGGTGTGATTTAACCAAGTGGAAACGACCCCTATTGGATGAATTTAATTGGTCTATAATGGGGAGACGGTGAAGTGCTCTTTGGGTGGATTGACTGCGACGTGTAGTATCAAGGTGAACAGCGATTTACGTCTACATGAACTTCCATCAAGGCGGCCACGGAGACTACATCTGCAGCAGATGCATATCGGATGCACTCTACTTGAGTTGTTGCAAACCACGACCAAGTTCGTACTAGTTTGCACTCCTCCGGTAGCGAAAACATGACCGCGACTCAAACCAGGAGCTTCATGATAGCAGCTGAAAAGCCTACGGTTAGTGACTGAGTTGGGGAACAATTTGAAATACTCATTGTGTGAATGAAGTTCAATACGCAATCTCAGACGAAACTTGGTTCATCGGGAAGTTAGACACAACTGGTCATGGAGTAAAGGTTTGCCAGCGGCCAACCCCCACAATTCTACTAATCGGTATGGTATTTCCGCTAATATTAATACTAACCAGCATAGAAATTAAGATCCTCGAACTACCGCTAAAATGTGGAAAAAATACTGCCGCAATTGTAGGGTATCGGAGTTGATGGAAGCTGGTGCGAGGTATGGTGAACGAATAAGAAGTTACTGTTCTACCTGATCTGCTCTAGATAGTTGGCGAAAATTTTCCTTCCTTCGGGCTGGCCAAACTTTGAACCGTCTTTCAAACCCAGCTGTCCCTACCGCACAATAGCCAGATAAAAGAAATTTCGCGCAATCCGCACTGAGCAACCTACCGTTTATCCGATGAGTGCCGGCCGAACAATTGCCCACTGCTGGTATTATTCAAAGATACTCCGGCGGAATTGTCAACTTCACATGACCTACAGTTAACCGTTTTTCTAATAACGAGTATCAGCTCTCGAAATAATTAGTCCGAGCAGTAAATCCCGGAAAATATAAAGCAGCCAGCGAGCAAGTTCCCGGTCTGTGGAGGTGAGCACGCTGCCCGTTGACTGGGTGAGACTTGTGAATGAACCTTAGAGGAATGCACTTCGACGGTGCAACGGGCTTGTATGCGCCCCCCTCACGTCCGAAACGATGGATCACAATTGGTATGAGAGCAATGAACAGCTGGAACATAAGCGCACGACCGGAACCATGTCTATGATTCTAACGTCGTCGGCATGCCTTCTCGCGTTCGACAGAGTATCTCATCAGACATTCGTGACCGAGTTTTGGGCGCTTTCGTCAACGGTGATGACTGACAGCTTGTGACAACTGTGAACAACGTCAAATATCAAACAGCCTACTCCTGGATTCGTCGTTCTCCTGTTTAGGAGCCGAGTACTACGCAGGCGCACGGTCGTAAGCGGATTTTGTCGGAGGAAGACGATGACATCCTGGATTGGATCGCAAGGGAAGCAACTCTTACGCTACGGGAAATGTGAGTACGAGCAGAAGTGGACAAGAACACTTCGAAGTCAACAATTGCACGGCACCTAGATGGTCGATTGATAACTATGAAGAACATCTATCAGGTGCCCGAGGGAATGAACAACGAGCGAAACAAAGGGATACGCAGGGAATTCGTTCAGCAGTTTGTCTAACTTGAGAGCGATGGCAAGTTCTTCATTTGGATTGACGAAGCGAACTTCAACATTTACTGCAAACGTACTCGTGGTCGGGCGCCCAGAGGTGTGAGAGCCTTTTGCAAAGTTGCCAACAGCAGAGGCCACAATTTGCATTTAATCGGTGCACTCATAATGGAAGGGAGAGTGTCAATGACCACCCGGAGAGGCTCATTCGCAGGTCCCCTATCTCTCGAATATCTGCGAAGCTATTTAGACAATCTGAAACGGAAGATGGAGCTCCGGCAGGTTGTCGTGGTATGTGATAATGCACCATGTCACACAGGACTAGAAGAACTGTCGTCAGTAGATGGATACGATGAGTAACCATACTGAGATTGAGCCCATACTCTCCGTTCGTCAATCCGATCGAGAATGTTTGGCAGGTGGCTAAGGCCAGAGTGAAGAATGAGATGAGAGTGCACTACGAGGAACTTCTGGCCGGGGATCCCCAGAAACTTATGACGCAGATGGAATGAAGGCTGCAGTTCCTTGAACGAATTGCCAAAGCAGCCACCAAGGATATCAGCGTTGTGGGATGTCGTAATGCTATTCGACATATGCGTGTACATTTTACTAATTGTCTAGAAAAAATGACATGTTTTGATCATGTTGCTGGCATATTTTTTACGTATCCGCTTGTATAGCACGTCACTGACGGCGCGTAGGGACGTGTGAGTATTCACAGTGTTTTCAAACTATGTATGCACATACGTACGTTTGTGGGTTCGTACGGGGTTGAAGCGATATCTGATATCTACCGCAAGGGAGTGACAAGGGACCGGCTTCCAGTGAGTCATGCCCGAGCGATATATTTAACTTATGGTGCTTTTCGTGCCGGTATTCGCTGCGTCGTACGCTTTCATAGCCTGAGATAATGTAGATACAGTTTGTTTGTTCGGAAAACTAGGATGTTTGGAAAGCGCTTTGTAGGACCAAGTGAGCTTGCCGGGTGAAGCAACCGTCAGATAAATCACAGTATGGGATATCAGCGTGGATAGTTGAATAGTAGTGAATAAGAAATTACTGCGCACGTCATGTCAGGTCTTTCCAAGAGTGAGAGGAACTGATAAATGCGAGTTCGCAAACACGTCCATTGCCAGACAAGATGTCGTCATTGAAGCTGAATGAATGAATCGCGTGTTTAATGAAAACCGTCTCTGTGCGATGTTTGTCCGCTGTATTTGAGTGCACTGGCGCGTTAATTCATTACCCGCTTGGGAGTTGATCTGTCAAGTTCGGAACCCACATCAGCCGGTTCAGAAGGTGTACTTTAGATTTAAAAGCAACCATTCCTACAGCAATCTCAATTTAATTTGCGTGCCAGAAAGGCCCGAATAGCTGTCCAGTATGACTTGGATACGGCCTTGATTGTTCGGATGATCCCTCGTTTGACCCAATAGCGTGCATAAACAAATGGGGATGTAGTTGGAGTGGATACAGTGGCGTAGCGACTACTTTTGCTATTCGTGCTGTCGCTCTCGTAGTTGTAAAGCCTGCTATTGAAATTGTCATTCAATATTTCGTTTCACATAACAACAATCACAGATTTAATTTTAGAGTGCTGTCTTGAATGCAGCTATTTGAATTGTTAAAATACTCGTGTTCGAAATGTACAGGCACACTTTTCGTGCACTACTTGAGGACGCTGGCATCCGAGCTCAGTAGGTGCTCATCGAACGCAATTGAACATCAATGGTCGAAAATCCGGCAGACTTTGTTAGCAGCGGGTATGTCTTAATGTGACAAATCAAATCACCAACCTGGACATCGGGTCACTACGCAGTCTAAGGAACTTATAGATGCTGGCCAACGTGTTCCGGCTGATATCAAACACAAGGAGACTCGCAAAGATTTCAGGGCGAAACTGCTTGCTAACCTGAAAAGAGACCGGGAAGCCTGGTAGCCGAGTGGTCTGCACGCCTGGTTTGCAATCATAAGGCCACCGGTTCGAATCTATTTTCCTGGTCTGCTTTGTCATCCTGGATGTCTTCTCGGTGCTCACCCAGTGTCTGAAACCCTCGTCCGTCGAAAAAGAAGACTATCCCGTTGACTAAGTGTTACACTGAACCGATACCGTGGACAGGATGATCAAGTGGCACGATAACTGATCATCGCTTGAATCCTCGTGCCATTTGTGACAAATGTCATTCCCTGTTGTGCAAGTGCGAAATAATGCCAAGCAGCCGGATTATGTAGGGCACATATATCTCTCAACAGGACTTGGGTGCGCAAGAATCCGTCACTTCAACTTTTATACCGCTTATCGAAATGATGCTACGTTGTTAAACGTGGTACTGACAGAATATCAGATACAGGCAAGGGAAATTTTAAAGACAGTACTACCATCTATCTCAGCTCATGAAACGTAGCTTGTGAAACCGCAAATTTATCACAATTAGGGTTTTCAGACTGCAGCCATGCGAACATAGGAACGCTATAAACTACCCACTCGGAAGATATCTTCGACGCACAAGGATACGTAAATACTATTACTGCCGTTCACATTCACTATGTGGTGTACTCCCTAGCTCGCACCCTTGATCATTGGGTTCACTGTGAATAGGTTGTTGCATTTACACAAGTACCGACATTTGTTTACACTGCACACGGGACGCAGTGTCTCCATCAGCGGCGCGTGCAGTTTTGTCATTATTTCGGTTGCAACATTTGACCGTAGTTTAACCCGGCCAGCGGTGAACAAGTTGACTGAGTTACTATGGACTGGCTCAACCTCGTTTACCTTATTTCATGTCGGGCCCCAATACGCTTCGTATTTTCAACCCCATTTCATTTACGTAGTCAAACCTTCCCTTGAAAATCTTTCTAACCAGCCTTAGTCCTCGTGATTCGCATGAATGCACTTGTCAACGGACGGGGAGGAGGGACATTCATGGCGTCGCACACAGGTGTCACAAATTACAAACCGGAATGACCTAG